CGGTGAGTCAAGGGACTTGACCAGATCATTACTTTGGCACCGCTTCGACTCAACTTTATATACGGAATTGTTTCAATAAAACTTTATTCATGGATACAAGGTCTTAGCTGTTCACTAACTAAGAGTATGTCGTGAGATAGTCAAGATTTTTTTTGATGGTATCTCCATTTTTACAAGTATGAGATTATGCTCAAAGGTCCCATAGCTATGATGACCCTAAACCTATGTGTTTACAATTTCTGCTACCAAAACATCTTGGCCTGTAAAGCACTTGGATCTTTTTTTAGTTAACCCAAGTTCTTCGCTAGTAGTCGATTAACTCATAATGGTTCAATAATTATGATGCTATTGTGGGGATTTGCGCTTTAATTTGGTCAAAGTTAATGCCCATGTACTAATGACTACATTGAGGTATTTCCTTACTGATCATTAGGAGATTTCTTAGGCATGAGACAGACATCATTGTGCCTGATATTAACACCATAATAGGTTCCACTTTACATATATTAAATTTAGCCATTCTCCATCTGGAATGCAATGATGTGATTCAATACACTGTATTAATTTCTAAAAATACATGGTGGCACCATGATTCATTGGATGTACAGAACTATATCAACTAATGATATATTTTAGAAAAAATACTTGTATTACTCCTCAGAATAAGAAAGGTCTTTATGTTTGTATGAGAACAGGTCTGCTTTGTTGCCCCAGGCTGGAGTGCAGCTGGCTCAGTCAATGACTCACTTTTGCCTTGACCTCCTGGGCTTCAAGCAATCTTCTGCTTCAGACTCCTGAGTAGCCTGGGACTATAGGCACCCGCGCTACCATGCCTGGACCAATCGTTTTTAAATTTTATTTCGTAGTGGGATGCCGGGTCTCGCTATGTTCCTAGTCCCTGGTCTTGGAAGTCCTGGGCTTAAGTGATCCTCTTTCAACCCGTCCAAATTGGCTGGGTTACAAGTGTGAGGCCACCACAACCCAGCCAAGAAGGTCTCACTTAGATACACAAATGCAAAAGCTATAAAGGAAAACAATGATTCATTTTAACCACATAAAAATTTACAAATATCTGTTAGGGATTATTATATGTTCTAAGCACTCGCATATTAAACCTCTAATAAACGACTTAGGACTTTATGCATGCCCAATTTTATAGAAGGGGAAGTTTAGGGATTTAGAAGATGAAGTAATTTAGGGACACTCCTGTTTTTATGGTAAAGTTGTGAACAAGTAGGATTTATAACATCCTATAAAGTCTGATCCAACTTTTGGTTCCTAAGCCCCCTGCATTATGTTATATCTTCACTCATATTACAAAAAGCTTTATAGTCAAAGCTAAAAACGAACAGACCTGGAAAAAATATATGAACTATGTATTAGACACCACATTTCCGCATAGTATTAATACCACACGGGACAACCTTATAGTGAAAATAGGGAGCAGCAAGCAGGCAACCCACAGAGGGCAAAACTTAATTCAATAAACACATGAAAGTTTCCCCCCCCCAGCTCCAGCAATCAGGAATGCAAATCAAGAAAACAACAAGATTCATTGCTTATGAGTTTGACAATTCAGAATGTTGATTTTTACAAAGTAATTAACATGCAGGGTAAGAAATACTGTTTTGTAACTACAGGCACAGTGGCCTCATGCCTGGAAATCCCGGCACTTTGCGGAGGCCGAGGCGGGTGGGATTGCTTGAGGTCCAGGAGTATCAGAGACCACTCCACTATGCCCTAGCCAAGATGGTGAAACCCCAACTCTGCTAAAAAATAGCAACAAATTAAGCCAGGCACGGTGCGGGCACCTGTAATCCCAGCTACTCGGAAGGCTGAGGCAGGAGAATCGCTTGAACCCAGGAGGTAAGAAGTTGCAGTGAGCCGAGTTGCGCCACTTGCAACTCCCACGCTGGGTGGAAGAGCAAGAACTCCGTCTCAAAAAAAAAAAAAAAAAAAAGCCAGTTTTTGTAACCCTCATACACTGTTGTGGTAGTGCCAACTGACATTCTTCCTTTTAGGGAGGGTCCAATCTGGCACTAGCACAAATCGACCATAACTCCTTTAATCCATCGCAATCTCTCCTTCCTCAGCAATCCTCTCCTGGCAACAGTGCACATTTCTAGAAAGAGGCAATGCACAACCTTGATATCCATTGCCTCATTGTTTGCAGTTTAAAAAAAAAAAAAAGGCAACGACTGGGCAGGATGACTTAGATTTTTCATGGAAGATTAGTGGAAAAATTGTAAAATACATACAATTGATTTAAATACACACCATAACCTACACTGCAAAGCAAGACCACTATATGTCAACATATGGATGTAAATAGCGTAGAAAGTATACATATGAGCACACCTGCGATGAAGGAAAGGGTCCTAGAAGGATTTCAACTTTTCTTCCATGAAGATTATTCGCTAAAATACATACCAACATGAAGTTTGGAGTCAGACTTATAGGATTTAAATCCTAGCTTCACCAACTTAGCCATAAGAGTCCTAAATTACTTCATCTCTCTAAATCCTAACTCCCTCTTCTATTGGTATGTATTTTAGCAATAATCTTCATGGAAGAAAATACTCTTCTACGCTTTTACATCCATATATGGCCATATATGGTTTGCTTTGCAGTAGGGGGGTATGTGTGTATATAAATCAATTGTATGTATTTTACAACTTTTTCCACTAATCTTCCATGAAAATCTAAGTCATCCTGCCCAGTGTTGCCTTTTTTTTTTTTTTAACTGCAAACAATGAGGCAATGGATATCAGTGTGCATGCCTCTTTCTAGAATGTGCCTGTGCCAGGAGAGGATGCTGAGGAGGGAGATTGCTGGATTAAAGGGTATGTGGATTTTGTGACTAGTGCCAGATGACCCTCCCTAAAGGAAGAATGTCAGTTGGCACTACCACAACAGTGTATGAGGGTTACAAAACTGGCTTTTTTTTTTTTTTTTTTTGACGGAGTCTTGCTCTGTCACCCAGGCTGGAGTGCAGTGGCGCAATCTCGGCTCACTGCAACTTCTACCTCCTGGGTTCAAGCGATTCTCCTGCCTCAGCCTTCCGAGTAGCTGGGATTACAGGTGCCCGCCACCGTGCCTGGCTAATTTTTGTATTTTTAGCAGAGTTGGGGTTTCACCATCTTGGCTAGGCTGGTCTCGAACTCCTGACCTCAAGCAATCCACCCGCCTCGGCCTCGCAAAGTGCCGGGATTACAGGCATGAGCCACTGTGCCTGGGCGAGGGGTACAAAACAGTATTTCTTACCCTCATTAATACTTTGTAAAAATCAACTTCTGAATTGTCAAACTCATAAGCAATGACATCTTTTTGTTTTCTTGATTTGCATTCCTGATTGCTGGAGGGACTGGACTTTCATTTGTTTATTGGACATTTAAGTTTTCCCCTCTGTGGGTTGCCTGCTTCTGCTCCCTATTTTCCTATTAGGTTGTCCTTATTAATATATGGGAACATGTGTGTCTGAATACATATTTCATATATTTTTTCCAGGTCTGTTTCTTTTTAGCTTTGACTATAAAGCTTTTTGTAATATGAGTGAAGATACACATAATGCAGGGCTTAGGAACATGAAGTTTGGAGTCAGACTTATAGGATTTAAATCCTAGCTTCACCAACTTAGCCATAAGAGTCCTAAATTACTTCATCTCTCTAAATCCTAACTCCCTCTTCTATAAAATGGGCATAGTAATCATAATCTATTTTATAGAGTTTAATATGAGTGCTTAGAATATAATAATCCCTAAAAGATATTTTAAATTTTTATGTGGTAAAATGAATCATTGTTTTCCTTTATAGCTTTTGCATTTTGTGTATTAAGGAGACCTTCTTGGCTGGGTGTGGTGGCTCACACCTGTAACCCCAGCAATTTGGAAGGTTGAGGAAGGAGGATCACTTAAGCCCAGGACTTCAAGACCAGACTAGGCAACATAGCGAGACCCCATCACTACGAGAATAAAATTTAAAAACGTTGTCCAGGCATGGTAGCGCGTGCCTATAGTCCCAGCTACTCAGGAGTCTGAAGCAGAAGATTGCTTGAACCCAGGAGGTCAAGGCTAAAGTGAGTCATGACTGAGCCACTGCACTCCAGCCTGGGCAACAAAGCGAGACCCTGTCTCATACAAACAATAAAGACCTTCTCTATCTGAGAGTAATACAAGTATTTTTTCTAAAATATATCATTAGGTTGATATAGTTCTGTACATCCAATGATATCATGTCCAACCATTATTTTTAGAAATTAAAATAAGTGTATTGAAATCACATCAATTGCATCAGAGTTGGAGAATGGCTAAAGATTTAGATAGTAATAGTAAAGTGGAACCCTATTATGGTGCTTATATCAGGCACAATGATGTCTGTCTCATGCCTAAGAAATCTCCTATGATACAGTAAGGGAAATACCTCATGAGTCATTAGTACATGGGCATTAACTTTGACCAAAATTAAAAGCAAATCCCCACAATAGCATCATAATTATTGAGCCAACTATAGTAATCACTACTAGCAAGACTGGGTTAACTAAAAATCAAGTGCTTTACAGGCCAAAAGTGATTTGTAGCCAGAAGACCTAGGTTGGGCATTAGCTATGGGACCTTGAGCATAATCTCTCTGTAAAATGGAGATACATAATATAAATCCTGACTATCTCACAGCCATATTGTTAGGATCAAGTAAGATTGTATATGAAAGTTTTTTGAAAATTGTTATAAAGTTGGGAGGTGCACAAAGAAGATCTGGTCCAAGTCCTGACCACAAGATTGGATAGTGTGGTTCATCTTGTGTAATGGGACACAAGGCAGTGAGATTACACAGCTCAGGTTTTTTGAGGTCAGTTAAAACTGGGTTGGAATTTGACGTTGACACTTTATCTTAAGCTCATGTTGCTCATTTGTAAAACTGCAGACTTACCTAACAAAGATGGTATCAAAATTAGCAGAGAGAATACTTTGTAAAAGTATCGGGACCATGCCTAACACAGAATAGGTTATCAAGAAGTTTTTTTTTTTTTTCTTTTTAAATCTCCACTATGATTGACAACTGCTTTTGATTCACCAAACACTGATATAGTCAAACACTTCTGCCCAAAAGTTATATACTAAGACCTCAGATTCTATCAATTTTTTAAAATACAAGAACGTACAATAAAGATGAGAAATAAAGCCAGGCGCCGTGGCTCATGCCTGTAATCCCAACACTTTGGGAGGCCAGGGCAGTTGGTTCCCTTGAGCTCAGGAGTTCAAGACCAACCTGGGCAACATGGCAAAACCCTATCTACAAAATACATAAAAAATTAGCTGGGCCCCACTGTGCTCCAGCCTGGGTGACAGAGTAAGACCCTGCCTCAAAAAGAAAGATGAGGTTTTCCAATTGTCTACATCAGAATTCAAAAAAACAAACAGTATGTCATTCAAGCTGAATAGTTGGCTCACTTTAAAAATAGGTTTGCTATTCTTGAGAAATAGGTGTTAGAAAAGGAGTGTGGTAGTACTAAATGCCTAACAGAACAAGCTCCTTTAGATTCAGCCCTTTTCTTTTTCTGTTGAATGAACAGCGAGTTAATGTGGAAGGAGAAAAAAAGAATAAGAATTTTAATAAGGAATGGGAGAAAAAGACAGGGATAATTTTTGTATTTTCTTAAAAATAATTTCTCATACATCCCTGTAGACTGACAGGGAAGCAGCTATCTGTGGTGCGCTGATATTTACTCCTATCTGATGGTTATCTCAGGATGACAAAGGTCATGAATCAGATTTTAAGAACTGCTTCCATGTTGGAGTACTTCCTCAACCGGAGTTGGGAATGGAGCACATACAATACAGAAATGCTGATGTCTGAGCTGAGTCCTGAAGACCAGAGAGTAAGTATAGCACCAACTTAAGCAACAGGAAAATGCTACTCACTTGGAATTTAGAATTATTTGACTTGGAAAGCTAATGAATGAATAAGACGTTTTGGTTATAGACACAGATTTTGTTTTGCTTTGTTTATCTAAGAAAATCGGTCAATGCTATCAACACCACCATAGGAAACAAGTTTAATGTAAGTAAGAAACGTAGGTTCTTGGACTTTGGTTAAATCTTTAACTGCTGATCTGCCGACATGTTTTATCTACTGCACTTCAATCGTTTTGTCACTCGTTGGTAGTTATCATTTCAACAAACCCTCAATACCTCTGGGTGACTGTGTTCTTCCCTTATCTGTCACGGCATATGACTTCAATGAAAAATAGTGATTTGATTGCTGATAAGCTCTATCATCCACTATTCTTGTCCAATCAAAGTTGTTCTGCCTCTCCCAGCTACAGTTCCTTCCGTACCTTGTTAAAGCGAATCCCTACACCTATGCACTCTGCCTCATCTCAGCCCTCCCTCCAGCAGTGCTGCATCATTGATCTTCCTCCCTATAGGATTTCTCTACAACAGTTCAGACTTTTATTTCTCAAGACAGGCCTTCAGCTTAATTCGTTAGCATTAGCACCACTTATTTAATTTCTTGGCAGTCACAAAGAATAAGTCCTAAAATCTTTGCATATTCTGAAATTCACACACATAGAAATCTTTTGTACATTATACATGTTCCTAGCCTTTTTCTCAGTCATATATCCCCTGAACATCTCTGTATGCAATTGGTAAAGTTTTTAACTCAATTTTAAGGCTTTCACTCCATATGGATTGATATTTCCCACTAAGAAACAATTTTCTAAAATGTATCTTTTATTTTGTACCTGACAGCATGTAGAAGAAACCAAGTCACACTGGGGAGTAAATATCAGATGGCTAACTGACCTTGCTTGCCAGCTAAGGGTTTCACTTCTACCTATCAAACTTATTGAGCATGATTCAAATCCAAGCCCTAGAATTATTTCCTAAGCATTATCCGTGTCAAATATAATAAATACTATATTAGGCCAAAAAAGGCAAGATTTAGAGGGATATTTTATCTGAAATCATTGCTACCTCTCAAAGTGATATGAAATAGTTATTCAGAAATGTTTACACACCACACATAGACAAAATTCTTCTAGCACTAGTGTTTGAAATGAATGATGATTAAGCCAGTTTATAAATCAAAAACAAATAAATTCAAGCTATTGTAAGTTCTTTTAAAATTTAGCTTTAAACTCTCTGTAGGCTTATCCTTATGTATTTTCTCCATGGAATTTTCCTGCCTAAATAACTCAAAAGGTAATGAGCCTAGGTTCATTTCTGACATTTTACTATTTTAACCTTTCAAAATTTTGTGAAAAAGAATCAAAGCTTCAGTGGATTTAACATATGCTCTCAAAAATATCTTAGCAAAAGTAATAGTACTAAATGTAATTGCCAAATTCTGGTGTGGCTCAAAATTCAGTTTGAATTGCCATATGGAATCAAGATTCTGAACAGGGCCACTCTGAAATCAAACTTAGAAATGTTAAACAGTATAAAAATAAAAGTCTCTGCTTATATGAATGACTAAGCAATATTAATGATGCTATAAAAACCATATCCAATCAAAGTGATAATGGAATTTCTTTCAAAAAGCAATTCATCTTTTGGATAAGTCTTTGAAGCACTCTGGAACTCACTAATCTCATCTGATCTCTTTGTTAATACTCTAAATCTCACAAAGGTTTGAGGTATCTTGCAAAAAATACACATAATGAAAGAACAAAATAGAAATAAAAAAATGCAAAACCAAGGAAATATGAATCAGAATATGAAGTCACAGCTAAAAATTTAAAAAGAGGGTGTCCATACATAACCTACAAGATCCTATTAAGTTGCTGTAGTTAATTTAAGCAGTGAATTTGTTCTTGAGCTTTCTGGTAGCAAAGTGAAAAGGAAAATATAGTTTCATGGGACTCATTGTTCAAAAGGAAGAATGAAGAGAAATTAAAAAAAAGTTATCAAAGCAAAGTAAATACATTTATGACTTTTTATTTATTTATTTTTTTTTGAGACAGTGTTTGCTCTGTTGCCCAGGTTGGAGTGCAGTGGCGAGATCTTGGCTCACTGCAACCTCCGCCGCCCGGGTTCAAGCGCATCTCCTGTCTCAACCTCCCAAGTAGCTGGGACTACAGGGGCCCGCCACCATGCCTGGCTGATTTTTGTATTTTTAGTACAGACGGGGTTTCAAGATATTGGTCAGGCCAATCTTGAACTCCTGACCTCAGGTGATCTGCCTGCCTCGACCTCCCAAAGTGCTGGGATTACAGGCATAAGCCACCACGCCCAGCCCATTTATGACTTTTAAAAAGTTATTTCTTGTCATGTTTCTCCATGCAAGTTGACAGGATAAACCAAAAGCAATATGGACAATGAATCAGCAAAGGGCTCATTATTAAATGTTTACTGAATGCTCAGAATGTTAAATAGGGTTAATAATATTTAGTTACTTCCCTCCGAGTTCTAAGATGGTTTTCTGTGATTAATATATAACATTTAATTTGCATATAAAGGAGAAAGAATCAAGGAGCCCTAGAGAACTACTAAATCTTTAAGATGTCACATTCAATTGCATTCTTAAGAAATGTAATATTTCCTAAAGAGAAATAGAGCTAAATATAGACTCTGGAAGAAAGATGCAATTTATGAATTAAACCCAAGAGATTCTCAGAAAATGGTGAAGCCGTTTTAAACTTAACTAACTTGATCTTTAGTGGTGACTGGCTTTTTGGTTTTGATAATGTATGCCTTTTATTTGGTACCATCTAAGCCCTGATCAAACTAAGAGTTTACTTTGGTCATCCTCATGTAAACCTTATATACAGACTAAATAGAAGAAAGTGTTGTATAACAAAAAAGAAACAATTTTGGCTTTCAAAAGTAATATTTAAATTAATTTGACCAAAATTCTATAATTCATTAATGTATTCAGCAAGTATTTATTGAATGTCTACTTTGTGCCATTCAAAGGAACATCATTCTTGTTGTTCTAGGAACATCATTTATTTAGATTAAGACTTTTTAGCTATTAAAATCCTTGCTAGTGAGGCCTCACCAGAAGTTCAGTAAGTTAAGAGTAATGAGAAACTCTCCACTAAAGATAGGCTTTTTTTTTTTTTTTTTTTAATGTCCAGGGATTAATACAAAAAGTGATCTGAGAGTGCTGTATGTCCAAAGAGAGAGAAGAGTACCCAGCTGGAAGGACAAAGGCACCTTAAACAAACCCTCCACTTGCTAAGATTTATAAATATTAGACTTTTTAAATGGCTAGCACAAGTCCATTTTCCAGGCCATTCTCTCCAAATACACCAAATAAAACCCTATTGAACCAAATCCACTCACTGATGCAATCTGTTATTTGAAAACAGGGTCATACCAAACTCTCCAAGAATACCTAATACTTGAAATATTTCCAGAGATGATACCAGAATCTTCTTGACAGTCTTTCTACTAACAGGTTTTAGTGCCCTAAATTCTTTATATTCAATCAAAACTATTTTTTCTAATATATTTGAAGATCATTTCCTCCCTTTCTTTCTCCAGTTAAGCCCTTTATATGGAGATTTTGAAAAGATCCCTGGATGGCTCAAGAACGACCTATCAGGTTTCTCTTCCGAACTCATCCTATCTCCATTTGTAAACCATATAAATCTGGGCCACCTCATGATCCTGTGTCAGCCCAGCGTCATTTTCAAAGAAAGTACACAAAAAATAAAATCTATGGAATGCAATTCAAATCTTTACTCCAGCTTTTTCGTAACAAACCAAAAAAAAGAATACATTTTTGGTCATGCAAGTGTCTGTCTTTTCTCTTCCTCAAAGATACCTTAAAATTTTTAATCCCTTTTCTTTATTGTCACTCTCTATATCTATCTTCTACGTGGCAAAATCTCTCTCCCTAAACAGATCTCCTCCTTCTCCTTCTTCCCTACTCCTCCCCCATGTTGTGATCACTCCTTTTTACTTTCACTACCACTCTCTTCTTAAATATAAATTATGGTAACTTATTCCTTAAGGCTTTGCTTACCAAAGTGTAATCTGCATAATGAAGTGGTAATGTTCTAGGAAAGGATGGTAGGATAGCGGGTAACACCAGAATTTAAGAGGAAAGGGAAAGTTGCATCATTTATGTTTTGGTCACTAACATATTATTCCATCACTTTTAAAAATAATTACTCCACAGTTAGCTGAAATATATACCAAACCAACCATAAGCTTTCTCCAGACTATGTAATACCATTTCCTTTAAATCTCCCTCACAAGAAATGTGAAGTGTTTGCGTTTGATCCATGTTTAAATATTCCTATGTAAATAGTAATCCATATTATCAGCACCTTTGAAATAATGACTCAAATAATCTCTCCTTTGAAGAAGTTCAACCTATGTCTCCCAAATTGAAGGTCACTCATCTATGTAGAAGAAACCTCAACTGGACAAAGTGACTGTCCAGCACTGCAATTCTGGCCATCTATAATCTCTCTTGCCTCTCAGGTATTCAACTTTGATGTGCGCCAGTTGAACTGGTTGGAATACATTGAAAATTATGTTTTGGGAGTTAAAAAATACTTATTGAAAGAGGATATGGCTGGGATTCCAGAAGCAAAGCAACACTTAAAAAGGTAAGTATAATCAGTCAGTTAATATTTATTGAGCACCTACTGTGCATCTGATTTTATACCAGACATAACATTTGTGCAGAGAAGAAGAATGAACATTTCTTGAGCATTTACTACATTACAGGTCCTGCACTCTATACTCTACCCTGTAACAGTTTCATTTAGACTTCACTACACCTCTATGAGGCAAGTATTACTTTTGTTATTCCATTTTTATGAAACAGATGTTTAGATTTAAACACAGCAAATAACTTGCCCATGGTAATGCACAGTAAGTCTAAGAGACAGATTTGAACCCAAATTTGTTTCTTCTACCACACTCTGTCATAATGGGATATAAATACCCAACAGACAGGAGACCTGGTTATGCTATTTAACCTAGAAAAAAGTCCCTCCTCAATTTTTTTCAACTTCCTTAAATTTCTTTCAGTCATAATCCCTGAGGGACAAAATTCTAGCACTCTGGTATAATCCTGGTAGAAGCAGAGGATCTGCAGTGCAGAGATGATAAGGATAGAAAAGTAGCTTGCAAAACAGGAAGGAGGAACCTTGAATAGCAAGCCAAGAACTTTAGAATTTACCTTCTAATGAACAAGAACCAGTGAAGATTTATGATGCAGTAACATGATCAAAGTATATTTACAAGATTATGCTAGTCATGCTTGTAAATAGTTTCAAATGGAGAGAGGTATAAGAGAAATGAGTTAGGGAAATATGGTAGAAATCTGACTATTCAGCAAGAATGCTGCGGAAATGAAAGATGCAAAAACCAAAAGGCCAAGTTATGCCAACTACTCTGTGAGCACTACATTAATACTTGCCAGTCATATCCAAGAAAACACACATTTATCTTCAGATAATGTGGTTGGGTATCTGGTAGTTTTAACTTTGGTTATGTCTGTCTCTTCCCTAGGCTCCGAAATATCCACTACCTCTTTAATACTGCCCTCTTCCTAATCGTCTGGCGTCTTCTCATTGCAAGATCTCAGATGGCTCGGAATGTCTGGTTCTTCATTGTAAGCTTCTGTTATAAATTCCTCTCCTACTTTAGGGCATCCAGCACGCTCAAAGTTTAAGAACATTTCACCATAGTTTTTTATCTGGAACCTCTCAGATACCTCTAAAACAGCAAACTGTGATTCTCAAGATTAGAAAGTAACAAGGAATATGCCCAAACTGTCAGTGTCACCTTTTATGTATTCATCCCTATTCCTTAACTATATATTTTTATTTCAGTGAGAGAAGGAAAGTTGTAAACTAGCCCATAGTCACCTACATTTTAGGGAAAAAAATTCAAATTGTTTCCTAACATTCTATTTTATGCCCTTGCATATTAAACGTGAAAGTACTCCCACTTTTCTATATTTAGCTTTTCTTTTCTCCCTGAGAGGATTCATTTAAACTCAGTAAATATGGAAAGATGCATGGCAGAAGTTGAAAAGAATTCAAGCAGTACTAACCTTGGAACCATTCTGGGTACCCAAAAGAAAAATTTTAAATCAAGATGAGTAGAAGGAGAATGATCTCAATATCCTCAAAAGTGAAGTAACAGAAGTAATTCCCCACTGAAAATGTCTCTCTTTCCATGTTATACCTTGGAGTCTTGGTAGGTGGGGGAATCAGAAAAGTAGGTTTACATTTAACATTTTTCTTAACTATATTCACTTCTTTAAAAGGAAAAAGCGTAAATAAGTATGTATAAAGTTAGGGATTAAGCATATTTGCATTGGGGACTCATGTATTATGCTTTTAAGTCAAAATTGATATTCTCAAATTTGAATTTGACAGCTATTACTTCTAAATCTTTTTAATCCTCAATTTCTTGGTAACCTTCTTTCAAAAGTCTCCTTCTAAAAGTTGCCAAACCCTTTATATTTAATCTTTTCCCACTCAGGACTCAATTAGAGTGGTTAACAGGGAGAGGGATGGTCCCATTTGATCTTTGCCACTGAGCAAAACAAAACTTCAAATGGACTTTTAAACTGTAGCTTCTGGTATAAAGTGGGGAAGATTGCACTTATGCGATCACTAGAGGATTTACTAGTATCGTGATCATTCCAATTGCACAATGTTAACTGTACAACATACAGCAGAAAAGTGAATAGACTTCACTAAGGGACTCAAGTTTAGGAAATAGGTTTTGTTTTCTTAAAAATATTTTGTGTATAATGCAAACTAGTGAAAACTATATATATTCTCCAATTCCTATAGTAATAATGTAACTGTTACGCCAACTTTCCTCATATTTGAGAGATGAGTACGTTGGATTGCAGCATTTCTTCATGTTAAAAACATGGAATATTACTCAAATACACTATTTGGGGCCTAAACAACTAAAATTAGTCACCACATAACTAGCTGAAAATGACATAGGCATAAAATGTTAACAAAGAATGGCAGTGATATTTATGCTCACTTCCTGGAATAATTGAGTAATATTCAGAAAGGCACATTGAGGTAGTTTAAGTGTACAAGGCCTTCAGGCAGTATCTAGCCCAGTATTATTCCAGATTCTCCTGAGCTCTATATAAAGGGCATTTGGGAGGAACTCTTCTGGGCAGTATCTTCCCCAATCTCATCGAAATTCTGGGAAAGACTTTCCATAGCAGACAACCCAGCTCTGACACTAAGCACCTGGTGATCTTTAGTTTGAGATGTCTATATGGTACTTTTGCGTTATATCAATTAAGATACAAGCTATAGATATGGTAAAAATACGAAATCAAGATATAGCTCAGTGGGACTGGATTAAGACATAATAATAGTTCTAAGAATTCACTTTTGATTGTATGTTTCACCAATTCAATAACTCCACTAATCAAGTATTCACATTTTGACTTTTGATTAAATAAAAATTTGAATTAAAATTCTTCCCCTCTTCTAGTGTTGTCTTTAACTGCTGACTACCGCAGCACTTCTCCCTCCTTTACACCCCCTGTACCCCACCCCCTAACTCCCAGAAAAAGGAAATAACTTCCAAAGAACTCTTTCCACAAATCACATCACAGGAATAACTATCAGATGAATATAAATTAACCTATAGGTACATAATACTTCACTTTTTCTAACACCATTAATAGGGTTATTTTGACATGAGTATTCTTCTATTTGTGGCATCAGATAAATGACACAAAGTTCTTTTGTGATGATTAGGCAGTAAAAGCAGGTACACCTCTGTATGAAGGGCAATCTCTAGCATGTAACTATTTCACATCAAGACCAATTCGCAATTACTTGAATGCCTAATATAAACAAAGCAATGGGAAAGAACCTTCTATGTGGGGGAAAAAGAGGATGGAAAGTACAAAGAAAAGGTACCTATGTTTCAAAAGAAATTCTGGCAATCCCTATATTCTCTACCCACAAGATACCTGATACAGTATCAAGTATTACAGAGTTGAAGAGTCACTGCCTGAGGCAACTAATACTAGAAAAGGTTGAGGCAAATGGGCACACAATTCACAGAAACACTTCTTGCAATTTTCAACTAACATCATTACTTCCATTTAACACCTCATTTAATTAACTTAGCATCTCAAGGTAGAGACTGGTCTAATAATGCCCAAATAGCATGTTATATTACAATAAACATAAACAATTCAAGTAGATCGGTCTAGTTTCCAAAAACATCAATAATTTTCAAAGCTTACAAAAATCACTTGTAAATTTCCACATGGCTACTCTTCTAGAACTGCTGTTCTAATAATGTCTGGGAACATAAGCAATTGCCTATAGTAAGAAGTAACAATTCTCATAATCCCACATAAAGGTGTGGAAAAATGCCCACTGCCTAGATCACTTAAAACATTTTTTTTAATTAACTAAGACTACTAATTGCTGGTTTTCAAATGGAACTGGTTTGAGAGACAGTAGTGCCCTGCAAAGTGGAGATACTACTGTGGCAAAGGATGCCTAACTTGAGTTTAAATAGCCAGAAACACCTTTTCTGATACACAAATATTTTAGATGTGTCCCTACTTTATTTGAAATACTGATTCCAACCTGGAACTGCAAAAGGAATAGCAGATGTGATATGGCAATTTGAGTCAATTCCAGAAAAATACCTTAAAGTAAATGTCAGTACAGTATAAGAAGTCACCAAATTGATTTACATAACTGTTTGAAAACAAAATACAAAGCATTTATTAGTTATGAGCTATTGTTGAAGGTCTGCTTTAGTATATAGCTTTCACTAATGTATACTTATCTCATGCCTTCTCATCCTTAATAGTTTTCCCTTATTAAAATAGTGTAAAACGAATTATATTTGGAAAAGTTAACCTAACTCCTTTTGTGAAACACAAAATATTATTTGGAGTTGCCAAAACTACTTAAATGTTTCACTGCTTGTAATCTTGTTTGTATTCAACTGTTCACATGTTTATACACGTAAATTCGAGTCAACTACTCGATTTTCACTTTTTCATCTTTGAGAAATATAAAATAAACCCTGATCATATACAAATTTAGCTCCATCTGGAAGAAAAGCAAATGTAAACGTGATATTTTAAAATTCCTGTAGCTTTTCTATGAGAAAAAAAGTTTAAATATGGGAACTGAGGCTTATTTGGGGGTACATTTTCTCCAAGTATTAAAAAGACAAAAAAAAATGCTTCATAGTTTGTCATTTATTGAGTCCAAACGTTTGTGCTTGCAACACTAAATATTTCATGTTCTTTTCTCTCAAGACACACACACAAAAAAAAGTTGAAAAAAAAATTTCAGTATTTTCAATAGTTGAAAAAAAAATCTAAGGCAGTCTGTTTTCTACTCTTAAATGTAAAGTGATTTTATCAAAGAAATATTTCAGAAAGTAGAAAAAAACTATGCTTTGATTGCATCATCACAATATGGGCAGATACATGGATCTTGATCCGGGCATTTTACCATAAGGTAGTAAACAACTGGTGACCTCTCTATTTGATAGTGTTGAAAAAGGGCTACCTACCACCTTGGCTTGCTGAAGGTTTGCTAGAGCTCAAAACAGGAAAAGTACTAGGTTGAGAGGCATGCTGAGATTTTAAAGGTCCTAAGGCTCAGGTTTAAGTAACTTTTAAACAACCAAAAATAGGCATCTTGAATTCAAGTGTAAGCTCTGAATTTTCAAGGAGTTTCGTATTAAATTACTTTTTGGTACTTGAATTACTCAGGACATAGATGGAATGCACAGTGTATCTCTCTTACACTATTAAAAAATTAGATCTGTCCGGGTGCAGTGGCTCATGCCTGTAATCCCAGCACTTTGGGAGGCCAAGGCGGGCGGATTATGAGGTCAGGAGATCGAGACCATCCTGGCTAACACAGTGAATCCGTCTCTACTAAAAATACAAAAAAATTAGCTGGGCTAGGTGGTACGCACCTGTAGTCCCAGCTACAGGTGCTGAGAGGCTGAGGCAGGAGAATTACTTGAACCCAGGAGGCGGAGGTTGCAGTGAGCTGAGATTGCACCACTGCACTCCAGTCTAGACCAGAGCGAGACTCAGTTTCAAAAAAAAAAAAAAAAAAATTAGATCTTAGTCATTCCTTTACAAATTCCAAAATTAAGATTGTATTAAAGACTGTAAATCTTGATTAGTAAATTAATTATAAAAATTCAATGCTATCATAAAACGTGTGAGAAAAGTGTGATATTAATCATCTAACTTGAGAACTAGAAGTAACTTGGGTGCCAGGTGCAGTGGCTCATGCCTATAATCCCAGCAATGCAGGAGACTAAGGTGGGAAGATTACTTGGTCCGGGAGTTGGAGTCCAGCCTGAGCAACACAGCAAAACACTATCTATATAAATGAAAAAGAATTAGCCAGGTTGTTGGTGCATGGCTGTAGTCCTACCTACTCAGCAGATTGAGGGAGGAGGATTGCTTGAACCCAGGAGTTTAGGGATGCAGTGAGTTATGATTGTGCCACTGCACTTCAGCCTGGGCAGCAGTGCAAAACCCCATCTCTTTAAAAAAAAAAAAAAAAAAAGGAATTTTGTAAAACTAAGTTAAGCTTTTCCTAGGAGGTAGTCTGAAGTGTACAAATACTGCAGCAGGGAATTATTCACCTACATATTTAATCTTCTTTATAGGTCAATGTATGCAAACATAGTATTAAAAAATCCATTTCATATAATTTGAGGTCTCAGACTTTTAAATATGTAGTCTGGAATATAAACATATAGACGCCATGAATACTAAAACAAAAAGGGGAATTGGGTAATAAAGTAGGGTATCCTTTCTGGAGGCACCTCCAGGCATAGGGAAAGTTGCATAATAGGTAGGTGAGTAAAGTGCTCTCTGCAATAGAAAAGAAACACTTGGTGAGGCCAAAAACTCCTAACAAATCCTAATATGCAGGTAAACTTCATCATCCAAAGGGCTGGTTGGAATTTTAATACTTCCACTGCCAAAAATCTGACTCTATTTGAGGAGTTTCAGATGGAAGCCTTTAACCTATGGAAATCAATGGCAAAGCAGAATTTTGCTTTAAAGAAATTCCTTTCATAGGAGATAAATTAAAATTTTAATATGGTATTTGGAAAATATGAAAACAATTAAAAATCATATATATCAAAATAATTTTTAAAATCCTTTTTAATACTTAAAATGATCTAATCCTAAAGAAAATAATCCTAAATCAATATTGTTTTCCCTCCCATTTAGAAAAAGCCCTGAAACTATTGAATTTTCTTACAAGCATACTTGAAGGAGCAGCGATCAGTCTAAATTCTAATTCTTTCCTATGAAGATTCCTGTTGACAGATGTTCTGTTAGTTTACAGCCAAACTTTGTTGGAAATAATCTTCAGAAAAATAAATCAAAACCTAGAGAAGGCTCATTCACTACTTAGAATTTTCTGGATGCAAAAATCTTTCAAAGTGTATCACTTATTTTCATCAGTTAACTTCATGGCTCTTAATGATATATACATATATTAATGATGCTTCTGTTATTTTCTGCAAAATATCATTCTGCACAAACTTTACTGCAAAATAGACCCATCACTATTTCTCCTTCTCTCCATTTTAGTTATCCTGTTTTTATACATTTATCTTGAAAAACATTCATTTGAAAAACTGTTACTTGTGATATCCTACTTTCTAAAACCACTATTTTAAATCTAATCTTTCAGTCTTGTTATTTACCTGGAATTTTCTTTCCCCATTTCCTTAAATGATTAAAACTTTGGAGACTGGTTGATAATTCTTCTACTGTCATTCAGTATTACAAAAGGAAAACTGATATTGGCACACATATTCCAAATACAGCTTTTAATAGTACCTGTGTGATAGCTCCCTCTCACTATTTTTAATCTTTTATAATCTGAAGATTTAGAACTAATCCTTAAATAGTAAGAAAGTTAGAACACAATCTAATACAGAATCAATCATATTCAGGACACCCTGAATGCAAATACTTCATAATCCAGTTTTACAGTTTAATGGACCATGTTTAACATGCCACCTCTCAGATCTGATATATCTTGTGGTGCTTAAAATTTGCCTTACACTGTCATTTAAAGTTACCCTGTTCTCCACTCACCACATACATAAAATATCCTATTTTTCTCTTAATGTTTTACAAACTGATAATTTCCACCATCAGTAGTGGATTTTTTTATAACTCACCCTATGTCCTCCAAAATATACCAATAATATAATTAGATTAAAAACTTGGCATCTTTTTTTAAAAAAGTGCTTTCTTTCCCCTGTATAAGATTCTATATACTATTTGTGAATGATACCTTTGCTACATAACACCTGCATACCTGCCCCTGTGAGAATTTAGTCTTCTAAGACTCTATCTTCAACAGTTAGATAAGTCAATAATCAGAGTTCAAAGAAGTTACTTTTTAAGACCAAATTATTGGATAATTGGTCTTGTTAAT